TCATGCCGCATCATCCTCCAAAGTAGCAAGTTGTTAGCCACCAATTTATTCTTAAATTGTTCCTATAATTTGCTCTAACTTATCAACAATTTAAGAATAAATTGGTGGCTAACAACTTGCTACTTTGGAGGATGATGTGGCATGAAAGGTCCTATAGAGTATAGACCTCTCTCCTTAGTCCTTACGAAATGGAAAAAAGCAAATAATTTATATTCTTAAATCAATAGGAGCATTTTTCTTTGTCACCAACATTACATTCGGACATACAGCAATGAGCTCTCTCTCTCTCTCTAAAAAAAACATTATGTATATGTGGTATATCACTTCAACAAGAACATCTTTATTGCCTATTGTTATGTCACCATTTAAATCAAATGATTTCAATGAATGAGCTTTTGAAGATTTAGCCATATATTAAACCTACCAACTGAATGGGTTTGGACCCAGCCACCACCACTTAATGCCTTCCATTTGACCTCCAATTCAGCAAATTTCATAAGCTGTTTCTCTGCCGTGTGGAATTGGACTGTTTGATTATAATATCTTGTATGGAAAAGACTACCATTTTGCAAAATCAAAATATTAATAAATAATAAATCTCATTTGAACCAAGGACTGGCTTGTTAGTGTGTTAGCTGGTTTGTTCTAATAATATTGATGCAGAAACGAATTCTGCAATCAGCACTTTGGGGCAAGGGAAAGTTATTAATGATGCATAACACGGAATAAAAAAAAAAAAAAATCTCACATTTTCTTTAATGGGAAAAGAAGGCAAATGATGCAGAGTGTACAAGCAGTACCTAGGGATCCTTGAAAGGTGTACATGTGTGTTTGGCCTTCTTTGTTTTTATTTCATTACAAGAGTAGATTAGCTGAAGTGGAACAATGGATTATGGATGGGTGGATAACATTTGGAGGCCAAGATATATCAGCAGCCTAGCTGCTACCGTTGTAAGTAGGGTGGAATAGGCAACTTGGCGTGGTAAGAAGGTAGCTCTAATCTCTTTCTGGTTTCAATAATGTTGAAATTCATCACAAGACGAGGAAGAAATAATGATATCTAAGGGGGTGTCAATGGTATCAGAAAATCCGATTTTGAATAAAATATTTATAATCGAATTAAATTTGAATATGCTATTTATTATTGAGGAATAATAAAAAAAAAAAAAGGAAAGAGAGAAGAGAGGAGAATGAAAGGGAAGGGATCAACGTAGACGAAGAGAGACAAGAGGGTGGAGAGTCAAAAGTATAGGCTGGCACTACTTAGCTCTTTATTTATAATACGGCGACTTAAATTAAAGACAGTAAAATTACGTAAGTTCCGCCTACCACCAACTAAGGTAATCCCATCACTATTAAAACCTCTTACAAAAAAAAAAAAAATCACTATTCAAACCATTTAACAAATCGAATAGATTTTAGATATGACCTGATTTGCATGGTGTTTGGAAGCGTGGRCGTTTTTTGGGATCGATTTTCAAGAAAAAACGTTCATCACTATTAAAACCTCTTAAAAAAAAATCACTATTCAAACCATTTAACAAATCGAATAGATTTTAGATATGACCTGATTTGCATGGTGTATGGAAGCGTGGGTGTTTTTTTGGATCGATTTTCAAGAAAAAACGTTCATGCTTCCAAGACTTTTATAAAAAAAACACTTCAGCCATGTATGCAGTGAGTAATACTATGTTGTTTGGTAAGGTGATTTTCATCACCGTTTTTCATGTATGTGCTGACAAGTAAGCACCACATAGGATACACATCAATCAACCATCGGGGGAAACGGTTTACCGATGCATGAAACGCCAAATTTTCGAGGTCCCAATTTTCGAGACATGCCCGATTTTTTAATAATCAGCTGAACCAAACAATGAGATATATGGGCGTTTGTTGAAATGCCTATGTGGATCCGACATGGCACTATTTTTTTGAAAAACGGCCATGGTTCCAAACATCCCCTTGGTTTGATAAATATTCAAATTCGATCAATTATATAATTCATATATATATATATATAATATTTAAATATTTAGGTAATTCATATATATAAATATTTAAATAATATAAATAATTATAGGTAAATATACTTTATATAAATAAATTATTTATATTATAGGATTTTTGGCTCTAAAAATCCTTAAACTTTGCAAAAATGCCACTTTCAACCCTAAAGAATTTAAAGAGCTATTTTTAGAGGTGTAAATCGGGTCGTGCCGCAACCCGGCACAATTGTATGGGCCGATGGACCGTGTCGGGCTTGGGATTTCAGGTCAGCGGGTCGGGCTGGCACTGCCCGCACTATATATATATATATAATAAACAAATTTTTCAATTTTATTTAATTATTGTATATATAAGCAATTGTATACATCAAAATTCATATAAAATTAAAATTTTAAGTTTTGTTTTCAGTTTTTTAAAATAAATAACTTTGGCCCAAGGCTCGGCCCATAGACCAGCTTGGCCCGACCCGGCACAGGCCCGTGCGAGCTCGAGCCATGGGTCGAGCCAACCCCCTAAAATATCCCAGGGGAGGGAGGAATAGCCCGCGGGTCGAGCACGACCCATTTTACACCTCTAGCTATTTTAGACCCTAAACTTTGGAGAAAAGGCTAACCATAGGCAAAAAGACAGTATTTGAAACAACGCTGATAGATCCGTTAAATAATGAATAAAATAATAAAAAGCATTTCTTACATCTTCTTCGCCTTCATTTTCTTCTTCTACCCTTATTAGGAATGGCAACGGGGCGAGGTGGGGCCCGGTTTTGCTTGCCCTATACTTGACCCCAAATTGAAATTCACTACCTTGAATCCCAATGGGGCTAAAAATCTTAACCCCATCCCCGTCCCCACAAGGAACAAGGATCCTCGACTTTGCCCTACCCCACCCTGGTCATTCTTACTTGTATCTTTATAAATTTATTTATTTTTATTTTTTTGAAACCTACCTAAAACTATTTTATATTATATAATATAATATAGTATAATATAATATAATATACATTAACATATATTAACAATTTTTATATGTATTATGTTATATAATATAGTCGGGGTGGTGGGATGCACAAATACCATCCCCGACCCCAGAGTTTTGGGTTTTCCCTGAACCCTGACCAATGGCCAAAAAACCCGCCCCGACTGATGCGAGGCCATCTCTAACCCTCATTACCGCAACAACGTTGGTAGTAGCTATGGAATCAGAAGAAATCGTCGGCGTTAACACCTTTTGCTTTTCTCCATCGATTTAGCAAAGTAGAAAGCACACTAGGGACACAAGTAGAACTAAACCCTGAATGAGAATCCCAGAATTACGCTAGTTCGCCCATGCTACTTTTGGGACAATGGAGGTAGCACAAGCCCTTGCACCTCCTCATTCTGTCCAAATGGTACCCGTTCCGATGACCTAAAGAAGGGTATTCGAGGAAGGCATTCCTTGTGTATAATCTCATCGCAAAGCCCAGGATTCCAAGAAGAGGAGGAGGTGCCAAAGCGGGACAATGTGGGTGTGATTGGAATGACGCCGGTGAGGTTATTCTAGGAAACATTGAAGACTAGGAGGGAGGTCAGGTTAAGCAGAGGGATAGCGCCACCTAACCGGTTGCCATAGAGCAATCAAACCAGAGAGGATTAGGATTATGAGGTTGTTGTAGGAGAGATCCAAGGTGCGAAGGCGATGGAGAGATGAGAATGAGGTGGGATGAGACCCAAGAAGTTATGGTCGAGAAAGAGGGTTTTGAGACTGACAAGTCCCAGAGGTCGGGAATCAGGCCAGTGAGGGAGTTGTTCTACAAGCTGAGGATTTTGAGTTGGTCAAGGCGAGCCAATGTGTTGGGAGCAAAGACACTGGCAATACCAAAACCTTAGAGAACGAGGCACACCACTTTACCATCTATCGTTCGGGTATGTCCAAATTTCTAGTGGGTGGTTAAGGGGAAGGAAAGAGTATGGGAGGAGGAGGAAGAGGAAGAAGAAGTGAGAGGGAGAGAGATGGGAATCTCAAAGTGGAACCCACTTATATATTTTTTTCAATATTTATTAATTTTATATATTTAAATATTTTTATTTTATTCTTGTGTGAGATTTAGCATGAAGTGGAACCCACTTGCAATTTATCAACTTTTTTACTTGAATAGTATCACATCAGCAATTTTTATTATTTTGTTCGTAATTTAACAAATTTGTCAACATTATTTCAAGCGCCATCTGTTTTTGCCTACGGTTGGCCTTTTTTCCAAAGTCTAGGGTCAAAATGGCCCTTTAAATTCTTTAAGGTCGAAATTGGCCTTTTCACAATTGAATCTTTAATGTTGTCTAAGAGAAGGGTATTTTAAGTATTTGTCAAAACCCAGGGATAGTTTAAGCATTTAACCCTAACAAATATTTATACAGAATGCATCAAGTACCCTTGATGATGATGGTATACACTTACAATCAAGTAATAATACATAATTAAGGGGATCTAAAACCATGGTTTTTTAAATATTGGATTTGGGTATTTGTATGCGTCCAAGTATTCCAAAAGATCCGGTACATGCCAAACAGAAATATGGGGGCATTACAAAAGCACAGAAACTTGGTAGAATAGGTCCAAAAGGCACAAGATGGAAAATGTAGAATGCCACTAACATGGTTTTATTAATGAAATTTTTCATAAAACTTTTGTTTCATCTATAGTAATCAAAACAAAAATCCCAAAAGTTTCAGGTGGATTTGTTTTAGATGAATCATTCTTGAAATTCTGGGGTTTCATCATATATTTCGTTTTAAATTCTAGGTTTCTGTATAGAACCTATAAAATAAATAAAATGCCTGCAAAAGTGGTAAATAATAAGATCATTATCACCACCATCCAAGCCTTATCCCATCTACCTCGTCGTACTAGAGAACTCACCAGGCAGCCCGACTAGCAAATCTACTCTCTTAGGAAATACTAGGAGAGTAACAGCTAATATTCTTCTAAAAGGCAAGCAAAGGTATTTTGGAGGTTTGTGGTATATTAACAAACCATGAGATTAGTGGCTAAAGCAAAGGTATTTTGCCTGAATGAGAAGCTAAGTGTGTAGAAAGGCATTCGTTGCACGTCTCATGTGGCTTCAAATTACAAATTACATGGCTCAAGTGTTCAGATTTCAGAGTCGAGGTGATGGCTTAACTGCTTCTGCAACCTTTTGGTAGTTATATACACCAATTCCCCGTTTCTTTCCCAAGCGACCAGCATCAACGTATTGCACAAGAAGTGGACAGGGAATGTACTTGGTGTCCCCCAGGCCAGCATGAAGAACCTTCAGTATCGACAGGCAGACATCCAATCCAATAAAATCTGCAAGCTCTAGAGGACCCATGGGATGGTTTGTGCCCAGCTTCATCCCTGTATCAATGTCCTCCTTCGTTGCCACCCCAGTATAGAGAGCAAAAAATGCTTCATTTATCATGGGCATAAGGATCCGGTTTACAATGAATCCAGGGTAATCTTGAGAGCATATTACTGTCTTGCCAAGCCTGCAACCAACAGCAATGTAAACTGTTCAGTAAACAGAAGGCCAAAGTAGAAGCACCATGCTTGAACACTTCCTGACAATGCTTAATAATTGAAAACAGAACATTGGTGTGGAGAAAAGAATGTTTCAACCATAGCACTCACCTCTCCGCCAAGGATTTTATTGTCACAAATGTCTCGTCTGAGGTGTCTGCACCTCTTACAATCTCAACTAATTTCATAATAGGTGGCGGATTCATAAAATGCATCCCAATCACCTGCCAATATGAAACATGTCTTTCAATTAGAATTTTAATGAGCATGAGTACTATAGAAAATTAAATATGCCCTCATTATAAATACATTTTTTATCATTAATATGCCCTCGTTATACATGAATTCATGCAACTGAGATTTTAGAACCCATCAAAGTTTCTAAAAATGATCAATAGACAGATGACTAAGAATAAGAAAAAAACAGTAATAAAAGTAGAGTACATGCACAAGGGGGAAATAGAATTCAGTTCTGCATGTTCATCCAAGGTTGGTAGAGTAATTTTTCCCAAATCATTTTTTAGGAAAGGTTGTACTAAAGAAGTGTATAAAAAGATATAGGGGCAGACCAAATGGAAATGCGTTGAATTAGTGAGAAATGATTAGAAGGCCCATGATTTAACAATAGATATGGCACTGAACAAAGTGTTGGACAGTGTCACAAACTAGAATAGTGAAACAGGATTCATGTAGGCAACTCCATACAGTTGGGGCAAGGCTTAGTTGAGTTTTGTACTAAAAAAGGATACAAGGCCTTGAAAGCAAACCAAGAGCTGAACCAGGCTTCCATTGCCATAAGGAAAGGGCAAGAATCCCACCACGCAAAAGGTTGCATACAATAACTCAATAGACAACATAGACTTTCATTAAATTTCATTTCTCTCCACACCCTCTCTAGCAAGATCATCTGCCATCAACTTAGCCAAAATCTGAACTCAGTAGAGTGAATCCAGCCTAGCTGCCAAGTATCTTGCCTCTCTACATATCTAAAGAATCATCTCTTATTCATCGAATGACAATATGAGGTTCCTTATTATGGATGATCATTGTCTCAATACCCAGAGAGCAAGACGCTCTGAGGGCCTGGAGCAAGGAGAGAAGCTAATCCTCATCATATCCTCTAAAAAATCAGTTGTTTTATAAAGATAAAAAGAAAAAAGATGTCCACAATAGGGTGTAAATGAGTAATTGCATCCTCATCTGCAAACAAAATAAAAATTAGAAAGGTATAGACCTGTCACCATACAAAAAGACAGTTCACTGTCACCAGATCTCCTATACGGCTATACCCATGGCACACGAGTGAGGAAGCAACTTCTGCCACCTCTAAAATCTAGTCCAATACCATAAGGATCTAGGTTTCCAAACGAGAACCTGTCAAAGTTGAGCTTAACTGCAGACTCAAGACAGAGGGACCCCTTAGGTACACGTACAACTCTAGTAGGGCAGGAATGAGCAATTAACTTAGTAATCTCTCAGTACAAAATACACCAAGATCATCAACATCAAAAAAATATAAATATAAAAAAAAAAAAAAAAAAAACATCTTATGAATGACTCTTTCTTTTGACCTTCTCGTGAATGACCATAATAGATAAAGAGCAGCCCAATGCACAAGGCTCCCGCGAATGCAGGGTCTGGGGAAGGATAGATGTATGCAGCCTTACCCCTGCACATACAGGAGGCTGTCTCCAAGATTTGAACCCTGGTCACCCAGGTCGCAATGGAGCAACCCAACCATCACGCCAATGACCGTAATGGATATCACTTCTTTTTCTTTGCGCTTACAATTAAAAAAAAAGATCCTTTTGCAAAGAAAATATGAACCATCATCATGTGGCAATATTCCACTATTGATCATCATACTGATAACATTTATGGCCAAACAAAATTTCAGGGCATAACCTTCACAACTTTAATTAGTACTCTCCCAGAAGAGAAGGAATTGGAGATAAGGTTGGGCATCATAGAGGGATATAACAGTATAACACAAGAAGTTTAAATACTTTTCCATGTGGTCCATAAGTACCTAAGCAAAAGTACAATGCTAGACAGCATCACAAGTGAACTTTATGAACCTAAAAGAGGATGTTAAAGAGAGCTAGAGGAAGGATCAAGGGATGAGCTTGTAATTATATATCAACAATTCCCCACAGAATAAAGAGATAGCTACTAAAACATAAATTCAGAATAGACAGTAAGGATCAGCATATATTCTCCCACATAGTCCTGAAATCTGAAGATTGGATTCCCATCCAGGCATCTTATTCTCTGGGTTCCCTGCTCAGCTAATGATCTCTCAGATAATCTTTCTAAAGAAATTAATAGAGGGATATGTATCGTGAACTAGGTTTTGAGATTATGCTGTAGTTTGTTACTTGGCTTAAGTCCCCCCCCCCCCCAGAGGCTTAGAATGCTCTATGTCAAAGGGGCCTGGGTTTCTTCTGTAAGTCTATGTTGTTGCTTTGTTCATTGGCTTAGCCTCTTTTTCATGTTGGCTTGTCATCGAACTTCTTTTCAAATCTCTATTGCATCAATAAAGTTCCCCTTTATCTATTAAAAAAATTAAAAAAAAAAAGAATAGAAGGAAAGTTCAGAAATCAAAAGATAGAAGGGAAAAATTAGGGCCACTGCTTGATACAATGGCAAAATCTCAGGCTGCCAAGAATGAGAATGCAAGTTAGAGTCTGAGAACAGCCACTTTGTGTCAAGATTCTAGAGGCTAGGCCCATATACAATCCAAACCTTCCAAGACCCTGGATAGCCAGAACCAGCATCAGGTAATGGCCTGTCTTAGAAAAACTGCAAAGTTATCATTAGGTTAAAAGCAAAACCTGGTTCGGGCGGTTAGTCACTGAAGCCAGACGAGTGATGGAGATGGAACTTGTATTAGAAGCCAAAACGGCAGAAACTTTTGCAATCTTATCTAGATCAGAAAATAATTTCTTCTTTATGTCCTCGGATTCTACAATTGCTTCAATGATAACATCTGCAGAATGAAACTCTTCCAAATTTGAAGCATATCTCAGACGCCTCAGAGCATCATTGCCCACTTCCTGTTAAGCAAAGAGAAGAAAAATCAGTACAAAAGAGATGTTCTTATCAATAAAAGAAATTATTTATAATCAGTATAAAAGAGCTCTATATTAATAATTTGCAAACAATTGCATCAGGTGAATCCCAAGATACCAATGTGTCTCAACAAACTACTGCTAATGTATGGCATTGAGGACCATGTAGTTAAATGTGAAATAACATATGAGAACAAGAAGCAGAGCTAATTAACATTATATGGTTTTTACCATGAACTTAATTATATTGGGCCTATATAAATGACTTAATCTTGCAGATTTCCACAGAACATTAGTGTGATTGCACCTTGATAGGAAAGTAATTGTCCATGAGAGAAAAAAAATGGCTAAAGAGATTTTTCATAAAAAAGTCAACTCAGGTAAGCTAGTTGGTCTGGGGACTTGGGAAAATCTTTGTTAGAACCTAATCATCTATGCAATCATAGGGGTGTATAGGAAGAGAGGAATAACCAAGTTTCTTAAGGAAAGAATGCATCTTTTGAAGCCATAAGAGGTCAATTTCTGTTCTTTGTAAATTCTTAGTAGCAATTGAGAAGTTAAAGTATTTGTATGTTTTACAAATTTGCATAGAAATCCAGTGAAGATTCTAAATTTATAACCCATCCTTAGGAGGCCGCAACTTCCACCAATGTGGACAGCCTTCAATGAACTATAATGGAATTGCTCGTGGAAATCTAGGTCCAGCAAGTATCAGAGGAATCTTCTCTAACAATAGAGGTGCAACCATTTGTAGGAGGGGTAAGGCACAGTTAGGGAATGGTCTCTTTGAAAGACAGAGAGAGGCCTGTGAGTAGGGAATGAGTTTTTGGATCAAGGATGTGAAAATGGGGGAATTGGAGAGAGCAAGAGTACTCGGGAGTGCTAGGTAACAAATGCCAAGGATTGGATGATTTTCAATACGAAGAGGACCTCTATTTATGCGGGAAGTCCCGAGATCCTAAAAGGTAGGAGATAAGGGTATTTGCATGTTATAGGCCCGTGCATAGGATCTCGTCACGGGTCGGTCCACCGGGAGAGACTCCTGTCTTCCCTTGCCCTTGCCCTTGCGTACAGAACCTATTGTGGCAATCGTGTGGGTGATTTGTCCAAGAGATCACCCGAACTCTCCTAATGGGTGATTTGTCCAAGAGACCACCCGAACTCTCCTCACTCTTTTCTTGACTGGAAAACTGAATCCTTTATTTCAATTCGTGGCTCCTTAAATAGGAGATTACAGAAGGAAATTCCTAATTAAACTCAAACTCCAACTTGAACTCAAACTCCTAATTACCTACTCCTAATAGTAACACAACTCTTACTTAAGATAAGATAAGGATAAGATAAGATAAGGGATAGGGAATGGTGTAGCTGGCGGCGAGTTGGTGGGCAGAGCTGATGTGGTAAGAAGCGTGTGGGCCCACCCTGATGAGCTGTCATGTGGGCCCCGTCCTACTGCTGCTGCCGGCCGGTGCGCGCGTCTTGCAGTGCTGCTGCCGTGAGGAGCGTGCTGCTGTCGTGCGGTGCATGCTGCTGCCGTGCGGAGCGTGCCTATGCGTGCGCTGTCGGGTGGTGTGTCCATAACATTACACCCCTCCCGGACTACGAGCTTGTCCTCAAGCTCGAATTGGGTGTCGAAAACACCCTCAAAGGAATCCTGGATGGCTTTGCCCTCCTGGATCGGGTTCCCATGG